CAACGTGGAGGAGCAACCTGTTAGAGGAACGCGACACCGAAACGAGTCACGAGATGTTCGAAATATCGTGGCAGGCTGGAATGAGGCGGAAAAGAGGACTTATCCTCGCCGCGCGACAGACAGCATTACACTTGGAGGCGCTCCGGACGTAGCAGCCGCACCTGTGCTCCCTCCATCCAACCCTTCCTACACCTTTTCTCACTTTCTCCTTGTTCCTCTGTGTCCCTCCTTTTTCCACGCCCGATGCTTTTCTCCGGCTCTTTTTTTACCGTTCCTTTTTCCTCTGTCCCCCTCTCTCTTTCCTTCTCTGTCTCTTTGTTGATCTTTTTTCTTCCTGAACGCTCGTTCCTTTTTTAGAGCTTCGCTTTTCGGGGGACGACCAGGTTGGCCCAAATTTTGAGCAAGTGCATTATCTGCATCTTGGATAGGACGTTTGCGAGGAGAGATAATGCAGAGACTGAATGCGACGAAGAGATGTTCTTGAGGATGCGCTCGATGATGATTTGAATGAAGGAGTTTTGTATGAATTGTTTAACGTTTTTATCACAAGGAAACTTGTTTTCCTATTTCTTCTTCCAATGGTCTTGTAGATAGAGTCGTCCTCTTTTTATTTGTTCCTGTTGCGGTCGTGAGAGATCAGTTTCGATGAATCTGTGGGCAACTCGTTTAGCTTCTTTTACCTTGTATGTAAATGTGTATGTTAAGCATTAAACTGTCGAGTACGAGGAGATTAAAATTTGAACGCATGATGCATTATTTGTAAATAATTATGAATAATTGTGTTATTTATGTGAGATAAAAATGTACAAATATTTTTCTGTTTGTACAGATAAAAATTATTCACTTGTCATTAGAAAAATCAATTGTTCAAAAATTGAAAGGCTATAACAAGGCGTAATTTATAGAAGTTATTTCATATTTTAGTTATTTCGTTCGATGTTTACAAAACCTTCGGCAGACAGTTAATTAAATCGCGCGGCGTACTTTAAGTAGAAAGTAAGTAAACGTTTGCTTATAATTTTAACGCCGAGAAACTTCTTGAATGCGTAAGGAAACGGATGAAAACCATTATAATATTCAAATATTTGTTCGATATTACCGAGCAAAAACTGTTTACGTCAGAGTAAAAAAGAACAAAATCTTTTCCCGAGAAAAAGATAAATTATGACATTGTCATAAAAAAATTAAATTGGTGATCAAAGTGTACATCGAAATATTATGTATGGATACGTGACAATAAGAGTTGATAATCACGGAAGTTGTAATTTTCGAGACCTTACGACATGTTCTTCGATTGCACGTAAGCTTCTTTTACTAATGCTTCGTCAAGGATAAAGTAGGTTCCTGTAAATCGACTAACGAGGATTTAATTTTTTTCTGTAATTTCAGATCTGTGTGACTGCATCTTGAATATTTGAACAAGTGATGTAGGTTTAAAGGTGAGAAAAAAAATCTGAGAAGCTTAATTTATACACTGTACGAGACTTCCGCTCGTTTATAGCGTTCAGTACATCATTCGTGATGACTTTATTTACCTTTAGCAGAATGATAAGTAACAAAGAATAGCTTTGTACTGAATAGTTGTTTGGTCTTATAAGTTAAACAATTAATTGAAATATCATATTACTATCTTGTTTATATTTTAGGTTGTATGTGAGAATTTATTTGAACTAAAGTTGGAACAACAGCGAATAGTGAAAAGGATATATAATATTCAAGTTGTGCTGGTCGTTTCAACGAGTACCGAGAATTCAAATGAATTTACGGGCTATATAAACTAAGCTACATGACATGAAATATTAAATAATATATTTGTATGCGTCAATGCGTTTCTACGATCGTGATTGTTATTTTAATTTTTTATAATTCATATGTACAGTCACTTGTGTGCTAAAAGCAGGTGGAAGAACTTACTGAAATGTATTTTACATAGTTTACACATACAAATTGAAGTAATGAAGAAGAGTGAAGTAAATTTCTTCATAAAATTCTGCATAATTGGATTATTCGATTTATGTAGTTGGTACTATGTAACTAAAATTCAACATGTTCAAACAAATTCAAAATTATTTGTAGGATTGAAAATCAGCAAAAATGGTTCCATTAAGTGTATATTGAACTCTTTGAACATCTTTTGTAACATTTACTTGCGTAACATACATAAGTTCGCAAATGAACGCACACTTGTAAATCGTATATGTATATGTTCAAATGTGCCATGTCTAGTTTGGTTTGTTAATTTGTAAAGTATGACGAAAAGTAATACCATTCGTTTGGAAGTGCGCAGGACAGAGTCGGTTTCGTTATTGAGATATTCGCAAAAAAATTCACCTGTAGTACCTCTTATGCCGTTTATCGGTATATACGCATTTTTTTTTTTAAAGAATAAATGAAATCAGTGAGAATGAAAATATCTCGCTCAAAAATCAGTAAGAAAATATGTGTGTGTGTGTGCGTGTGTGTATATATATATACACGTTTATGTAAGTGTATATATATATATATACACGTTTATGTAAGTGTATATAAATATATTAATATCAAAATCAAGAATATTATACGAGTGATAATCCTTCATGTGTTTTATGAATATACCTTTTTTTCTTTTTGACGTCGAGTATATATGTTTTTCTTTTTGTGTTCTTTGTAACATTGATACACTCGATTTTAAATTTATATATCTTTGAACAGTTTTCCAATATATCATTTGGTTTTTCTTGTACATTTTTTTTTTATTTTTACAATTTGTCGCATAGAACAGTATCTCTCGCTCGTGTATTCTTTCTTTTCCTATAAGAAAGATTGTGCAAGCAAAAAACCGACGGAATTTACAATAATTAACACACATATACAAAGATGATGCGATGACGTACATGCAACATTAATCACAATCGTTAGTTCTCATAGATCCTAATCAAATCCATCCTCAATAGAACAAAGTGCAATTAAATCGTACATCGCAGTAAGTAAAATATTTGCGGCAGCAAACTTTGTAAAACACACGTTATATATTTCAAAGTTCGATAACTGGACGATGTAGTATAACCTATCATGAATTCCTTGGGAACGCGTTTTGGATCTTAAAATACCTTTGGGTTCGAATTCGTAATATTTCGCTTAAATTTTATGTCACGATACTTTCGCAAATATTACGTCCGTAAAGGGTTACAGTTACGATTCAATCACTTGGAAGAAAATCGAGTCAATGAAGAAATTTTTGGAACTTAGCTTATGTAAACTAAACCTATACACGTTACTTTAAACGCATGATAATTGACAAAGAAGAAACTTCGCAATTTACAGAGTCGCTTAACGAACAATTGGAAACTATAAAACCCGTAATTTATAGCAATCAAAATACATCACTTTTTGAAAGATGCTCGTCGGGCAATCCTTTTTCCTTTTCTAGTCGATATAAGCGCTTTTATATCCTTAATCCTTATTCATTTTTACATACATAACATCAGATATATATGTGTACATTATATATATGCGTATAGACGATTATCTATCGATTTAACCAGAATTTCTCAAACGCCACGATCGAAAAAAAAAAAAATTAAATTCTAAACAACCTAAAATAGAAATGATTTACTTTATTTTTGTAAGAGTTTAAGAATTTCTGGTTAATAAAAATGACAATGCACACCGAAGTCATGACGTAGCTATAAATGATATACAACGTTATCTTTATATATAAAAAAAGAGAGAAAAACGTGAGTAATGTTATAACAAAGCGGTCAATTAACAAATTGCTTACCACTGATATATCATTTTAATAAATATAAATTTATACTGTAAAATACAGTGAATTATATTGTTTTATATATAATGAGATTCTCTGATATAATCGTTTGTTGGTCGTTCAATTTAATAAGAACGTGGTAAGCAACACGTTAATTTCAAGACAAAATAAATTTGATAAATTAGGAATTCAATCTTTACAGACTAGACACTATGATCTGTGTTCCTTACGTTTTGATTTAGAACGTACGCAAAAAGAAGATAATTTAAATACCTCCACAATCTTACTTTGTACCATACTCATTACCAAAACAAATGAGCAATGATCCATTTCCATTTTAATCAATGCTAATTCATTTGATGATGAACATTAGTAGAACAATTAATGAACGTACGCTCTATTTGTTATTGTCCATACTAAAGATTCATCGTCAAACCTATAGATCATCTATATAAGACACAACTATTCCAAAAGCAGCTTTTACTCGTTATATCAGAATGCTTCTTAAAACATTTAGACTCTTGTATGATTATCAATTTGTTCAAGGTACCATTTGTCGACACATATATGCGACACATACAATTAATTTATCTAATGCACATCGATTGCGGCGATTTTAATGCGCATTTTAAACTTTTTAATTTATAATTTTTACAATGAAACATTTACATCCTCGATCGATTCGCTGCTAATTAATTTCAATAGCTAAGATACCTTGTTAAAAAAATACTGTATTCTCGAAGCGTTAAACACCGATAAAATAGATCATACGAATTTTCATAATGTAACGAGCTAATCTTACAAAATTAGTTGCTTCTGTTTAGCTATGTCCTCTGCCTTTCTCTTTCTCTCTTAAACGTTTGCCACTTTCTTTTCGCTTTAAATATAACATGGATAGACTATAACGCTACACGAGATAAAACCGCTTAGTAGCGTCCTTATAATAGTATAATCTCATTTGGACATCAATATTTGCATGTTAAAACTGGTATATTGGCAACAACTGAATAATTTTGGAATAGTCTTTCACTAAAGCTCTATACCTTGTATAAATGTGAATCAAAAGAAAGCTTCAAAAATGCTTCCAAAATCTAGTATGTAATAAAAAAAGAAATTGTGTCATGGTGGAAACACTTTGTGCCTGCACAGAAAGAATAAAATTATTGTACGGCAGTCTAGAGAGTAGAACAAATCGAGTTGGAGGGAATTTGTAACTATACAAAAGCTTCCTTCCTCTATATACCAGTTGCAACAAAGAATTATCGACTTCTTATTGCTCACGCAAAATCCAACCAACTCATATCTCTCTCTCTCTCTCTCTCCCTCTCTCTCGTTCCTTGCTTCATTAACACATTAATGTTAGTTTGGTCTACTACTTTGGCCTAACGAAAAGTGTAAATCATATAGGTACTCTGTGAAACATTAAATGCTCGTATTAGCATAAGTCTTTAGCATGGAAATAGATGTATGGATGAAAAGAGCATTTGGCAGTAAGAAAACAGAAATTGCATTCTTGTATGCACCTTCCTTAATGTTGAATCGAATTGTTCCATATTACTCTTATGAGTATCACGAAAGTAAATTCGTGGTTAATGAACATGTACTTAAAAAAGTACCAATGTACAAGGCGATTCGTTATCAATTAGCGTCTTAAGTAGCTTCTTTAATTCTGCTTTTAATTTCGAATCCATAAAAGATGTTTTCAATGAATATACCAAGTACACGATGTTCACTTGTTTCTTAACATATGAAATCAGAATTAAAAAAATCATTTGATTCGCTAATTGACAGTGAATTACTTTGCATATACGTGCAAATGAAAGTCATGAACATATAAAATACATGCGTATACAAAAATCTGTCATTTTCATCCCTGAGCAAGATGATAATAATACAACATCTAAAAATCTTGCCAACGATATATGGTATAGTTGGTGGAAACGATACAGTGAGATCACAAATTAAAGTATTAAGCGGCAAGACTGATTGTTATAGCCGCAAATACAACACTGTCCAATAGTAATTGCAATATTGATCAAAATTAACCTGCAACTGTTAAAAATTAAAGCGTAGACAAAGTTTTTAAATAATCGATTCCAAGTTGACATCCTTTGACGTCTGACCAACATTACGATCTCACTATATCGGTGCCACCAACTATACATATGCAATACTGAAATCGTTACGTTAGAACATTGTCAATCCAAAAGCTCGATTTGGACGCTGAAACAAACTTCTCGTTTTCCTGCATGTATCTCAGCTATTCTTTTCCATTTTGGTCGGACTGTACGGATAGAGAAACCTATTCGGATTGGCACAGAGATCAAATATCGCGATACCGGTTAAAAGATTATGACACGACGATATGTGACGTAAGGAAGGATTATACATTGACGTCTTAACGACTTATTGCGCTCAAGCTTTGGATCTGTCGGAGGAACGGATCCCGTAGCATAACACCAGGGAGAATATCAGCCCAAGTAGCTCCAGGATACCTATACCAGCGACTACACCGATCACGATGTTCTTCTGATTGTTCAGCGCATCCATCAGCTTGTCTATACAGCCCTGGAGACAAAAAAAAAATTGGTAAGATTCGATCGAGGCCACGCTTTCACGACGATTGGTGCATTAACGCGTTCAACCGGCCGTGATTCCACCGGTGAGTCACGATATTCTGTCCCATGGGACATAAGCCAGGCTATTGTCTATACTGTTAGCCATAAAGGTAAAAGTGACGATATCGAGAGAAACTTTACGGTGTATGTTTCGTATAAAATGAAAATTATAAATATGTTTTAGTGTAGTAATATGAAAAGATCTGAATCTACTCTTCCATTTATCCAATTTGTTTCAACAAGTCTTGAATGGACATCCAATTAGTCGTCCAAACTCTATTAAATTTCAACCAAAGGGACAGGTTTTAAGCGTCTAATCTTCTGAAACTAATTTCAAGCCAAAATTGCTTCCCTTTGCACATTATAAAATATTTCCATGCATAGTAGTGTCTCCCCGTTCTTGGAGCTGCATACTGCTCTGTGCAATATACAAGAGGAGATATTACCTCGCTGTAAATTGCTGGGCTAACTATACTGGCCACTTTAATATTCCGGGCTGCTTTGCAGGCGGTGCTGTCTTTGTCTTTGCAGCATGACTCCGGCACCTTGTACACGTTGTTCGCGTCCCCGGAAACGGTTAAACCGACAGGAATCGAGGGATCCCTAGTCGCATATTTGCTGCCTGTCCAATCAGCTGAACCGGTGGCTCCGCAACATCCTAGATCAGACTGAAACGCGTCCACCGCTTCTGTATAAGCAGGGTCCTCGCCATATTTGTTCTGAAATAAAGAATAAATTAAAATCAACGATTCATGTCTAACCTACAATTATTATTAAACCTTCAAAGGGAATTCATGTTCTAAAATTGGAGTACTAACAAATTGTGATTTATCAAATTTTACATAACACTATTCGAGTGTTTAACAAGAATTTTTGATAACATGCATTAAGTGTACAGTCGATGACACAACATTTGGCAACACTGTATAACTGCTTGATAACTGTTATTATATTTTTAGCAAAGATTCCTGATCCAGAACTGGGACAGCAGGTCCTGACACGTTAAACTCGTACACTATCATGAAGGAGTAAATAAAAAGAAAAGTGTGACAAGAGGCAGAAAAAAAGCTCTACTGAACGAGTATCTAATTCAGAATGATGAATGGAGTAATTATAGGTGTTCAATCAGCCGGTTTAGAGAAACGAATAGACTAATTATAGACGATTAGCACGGGCATGGACGACGTCGAGTCTCCGGCTAATTAGAAATTCCCTTTAACGGACACCGGTACGAGCGTTTAGCTAACGATAAAGCTCGAGAGTAATTGCTCGATACCTTAACGGTATTTATCACGGAAGACTTGACCAGTTCCTCGAGGCGGTCGCTGTTCGTGTACAACCATGCCCCAGCCGCGATTTGTGCGACGATAACCACCAGCAGGCAGCTAAAGAAAGCGACCAGCATGCCCTGAGAGCCGCGGAAGGCGCCGCAGCAGCCGAGAAAGGCAACTATCAGCATCAGAATACCGGCTGAGAGCAGAATGTAGAGACCGGCGTTGAAGTTGTGTTGCTCCTGTGCCAGTGACATTAGAAATGTTTGGTCTGTTAGCATCCATACTGCTAGGACAACCGCTGCTAGACCCAGAGCCTGGAAATTGAATAATTCCAGTCAGTGGAAGAGCAATATTTCATTTATGTCAAAATTTTTTGTTTATTGTGTTTTATTTTGTGTCCTTGTTACATGTAACGAAAAAAAAGCGCGTAGAGTAAAATTATACGCGTTATTGACACATATGTGCAGGGTACAGCCATAAGCCATCATAACCTAACATGTTACGTAAGACAGAAAAAAAAAATATGAATAAATATGAAAAAGGAATGAATAGGTAAACAGTAATAAAGAAAAATGTGTATGTTACTATACTTAAAGAGAGGATAGAAATGTTTTTTTTTTCTTATCGAGTTGTTGGTTGGTAGTGGAAAAACCGATAGGAAGATAGGTATGCAAGATGAACCAGTAAGAGGCTTTACAAGCAGTTTTCTGAGAAACCAGTAGAGAGCTAGTAGAGATAGCGATAAGGTTTTTTTTTTAGGTAGTATTTTAGGGTCGTGTGACCGTTACAGGACAAACAGGCCCTTGTCTGGCTCCCTCAGAGGGGAACAGGAAGTTAGAACACGACTTACATTCTGAATAGAATAACGTAAAAAGGTTTTATATTTTTGAATAATTTCTTTCCAAACGATTGTCACATCAGTTTACCATCGTCTTATATACATTGGATCAAAAAAGTTTCCATACACTCGAATAGAATTTCGTAATTAATTTATTACTGTTCTACAATGAATTTGTAAACATTTTTCTTTAACGGGTTATAATTTATAAAGATAATAGAGTTACTGACATTAAAAAAATTGACATATTATCTGTTGTTGGTAAAATTTAAGAGCAAAGATAACAAAGCGGTCGACTTGAGCGACAAAAAAGTCTCCATACACTATTATTCATTCGTCTTATTTATCGGTTGCCATAAAAACATGCGGGGTTCCCCGTTCTATAGATCATCAGAAATCAGTCTGAAGTAATTTTAATAAGAAATAGTACGAAGATGTTGCAAAAAACGAAAGCACCAGTTCCAATTTGCGAACTAATCGTTCGGTTAAGAGATCGAGGTCAGTCACTTAGAAAAATAACATATTTTCATTTTAAACAAATTTAATGAAATTAGATTTAAAAATTAATAACCTAAAAATTCATCTAAGTATAATACACAGAGATTAAGGCCTTCCATCTTCACGTAACATTTGCAATGCACGTTTATTAGCGTCCCCATAAATCTAAGAACAGTTATAAATCATTTTTTCCGCTGGTACAATACCACAGATGCAAACGACGCATTGTGCCAGGCGGAACGTTTTCCTACTTCGCCTGCAAAAATATGACCTGACCTTCTTGGCCCTATTGAAACAGAGAAAGCAGGGAACGTGTATTCTGGTTTACTGCTTAAGCGCCTCTCACAATGCGCTATATGGATAAATAATGAAGTATTCTTGCGAAACGGACGAACCGGGACAGAACGCGCCCTTTTCAATGGCCTGTCCACCAGATGTGTGCGCTTCCATGTTAAAACTCTTGGACATTCCCATTCTCCCCTTTTTTGCAGCACCCGTCGACCGTTTGTCTCGGGGAATCTTAGCTTGAAACGTTCTGACTACATATACTAAAAGCTCTTGCAGCGTCTTCACCGAAATTCAACGCAACATAAAAAGAAATTACAGACAATATTCAATTTATCAATATGAAAACATGCACTTACGAGATTTCTCGTATCTCTGTGATTGTTTCTTGCATTAATTTATAGTTATTATTATTGAATACTAAGGTCATTAGAGATATAATCAGTATTGGCAATAGAGCTGGCAGCGCATAAAAATGCGTAGGCGTGGAATACATTGCTGCACTTACAAGTTACAGATCGTTAATTAGACATACGTAAATATACAAAGGCGATATTAAGAGAGGTCTACATAAGCGTAAGAGAAGTTACATATCCCGTTCAACAGACAACCACAGATTTATCTATCATGCATAATGCAGACATTTATCTGTGTAAAAGAAAAAAAAAACTAGGTTATATGTACTCTGTTCATACATAGACTTCCCAGCCACACTTTCCCGCGACTTGATTTTTCTCGTAAACATCCAAAATAACCTATAACTCGTGTCGCAGTTGAACACGGTGTTTACATGAGAAGGAATGGACCTCGAAATCGAAGGTTCAGTGGGTTAAACTAGCAGAACACGCTCGTGACTTCCACTCGACGTGTAATCCCGACGGAGGCGTGCCTTTTAAACAGAGGACTTCCTGTATTCTCGGCGTGTCGTCCCGTGCCGTTCGAGCTGCGAATGCTGATGTAAGAAACAGATGCAAGAAGTCCGGAGGATTCGGTTGAGTCAAGCGAATTCTTCGCTGATACAATCAGAGATCAAACAGTGTAGTAAATCAAGCTGGAGATGAACTGCGTTCAACACGTGGCACAAGAGAAGTTTCAATAGAATTTTAAATCAGAATGAAAAAACTACACCTCGGAATATTTAAAGAAAAATTGCAACTGCGTTATATTTCTGATCACTTTTTCATTTTCAAACGGTTTGAGGTTAATGTTTTTTGAACGGCTTGACGAAGGGAACGTTATGTGTTTAATGTACTAACATTATTATGATACATCCGGTAGTTTGAGTAATGGATCCCCGGAAAGAGTATTAAAGGATAATTAAGTGATTGAATATTTACATTCACATGATTCACTTCGTTGAATATGTGATTTCTTGATGTAATGTATATTCCTGTACAGAATTTGAAATTGCGATAGTTAAATATTAAAAGTTGAAAATTATTTAATATTTTTTTTTCTTTAATTATGTCTTAGTAAAAATTTAAAAACAAACATCGCGTTTAGTCAGCTGTTGCAATTTGCAAACCACGCGATGAATTCCAATGTAGCCTGCATAATAAGTTTGCATGTTACGCAATTGATTACTATGTTTTACAAACATCTAAACACTTATCTAATATAATTTATTATTATATGTTTTTACTTTGACGATTTTTTACTGATTAGGTTATTTTCATTTTGTTAGATTAGAAGATAAAATTAGACGGCGATTGATGAATTTACCGGTTTGTATACCCAGTGATATTTACCGCGTTAAAGTAATACCCACGCTTATTAAAGATTAACAATTCGAACCAGGTATGGTTAACCGAGTCTATAGAAGGCAAACTAGGTGTTCGTTAGCATCTGTATAAACATTTTTCGTTGTGCGGTCTAGACAGTTCGCTGTCGCGGGTAATATAGCAATCTAAATACACACGCGGTTCAATTGATGTCAGATTCCCTTTCTGTACTATGATTTCATTACTAAACGACAAAAATAAACAGTCGAACATTTACCGATTTTTTAAGCAAAATATTCATTCGTTCCGTTTCAGTTAATAATTCGGAAATAAGTGAAAGCAATAATAAACGTTGTAACTTGATTAAATTGTACTTTGCAGAATCAAATCGAGTTCTCGAAAATCCATAAAATCGAATCGTGTAATAGAAAATAGATGGTAGGGTTATGCGTGTCATATCATTTCCCCGAAAGCATTTGGCAGCTTCATTTAGCGCCAAGTAAGTCAAGTTCAATGTAGTTGGTAAATGGATTTTATTCGTGGAAATAATGTTGCAAATAACGGTTAGAATTTAAACATTTCTACCTGTCATTTTCGTAAAAATAGACTCGCCCGCCATGTTTAACGTTTTCATTGAACATATTTACAAATGCAATTCGAGATTCGATCGATCAGCGATCGAGCAATGAAAACGAGTGCACGTATCGATACTAAGAACAGTCGCAAGGGATAACTGGGCCGTAGTGTAGGATGCAAGCTCGTAGGAAGAACATATTCGTTCTCTGACTGGAAATCTATATTTAAACGTACTTATTCCCCGTTGAACATTTTCAAACTAGAAGCGATGCTTGTCTTGGTGCTGACATAAGCACTATTGTTAATCGCTCGACAAAATGTTGACGTATGATGGTCCGGCTGGTGTTTGATCGGTATTCGTGGCCGCGGTTTAATAATTCGAATGAATCTGAGTCATTCTTCTGATTCCTAGTTTTCACAATACATCATTAAACGTGATGCAAATACTTGAAATGGATATAATCAAATATGACTCTCGTAAATACTTCAACAAGTTTTATTTTTTAATAAAATTAATATTGTTGATATTTACATGTATCGACTGAAACAATATTGATAAGTGCCAACTTCACGTACAACACAAACATTTAAATGTGTACCCTATTGAAAATGTATATAAATAAAATTGTTATAAAAAATTTTATTATGTAAAAACAATTATTTAGATCGTATTTTCGTGTTTGGTTTTCATTGGCTAGTCGAAATCAACTAAATCGATTATATGAATCGCTGAAATTTAGGGCAGACAGCGATTAATGCGAGATATACGCACCACCCAGATGCAATCGATTCAACTGCTCTCTCAAATTGCCTCACTTGACGCCGGAAAACTGCGGTATTAATTAAAGGGAGTTTCGACGGTTCGGAAAACTTATCGCGTTAATTACGAGGTAATAACTTGCGCTTATAGACGATCATTCGAAAGGTTATTTGAGTGAAAATCGATTGAAGATGTATTAGCTGGATGCTGATTATTTTTCAATTTTGTGTTGTTTAAGTTCACCATATCATATGACATACATCATCAAACCAATGACAAAGTTATATCTTTTAAACAGTACTACTTGAAAGTATAAATTGCATAAGTTTTATGAATTTTATGACAAAGTATATTTGAAAAAAACACTCATGCACCCAGATACAACGATTCAGCTGTACTAGAACAGCAAAACAGCAAAGTAGCGAAATAGAGAAAAAAAATCCCTAAATTTCACGCCTGCTAACTACCCTACTTCACACCAGAATTTCGTTCCAATTCATGTCCTACACCCGTGAATCAGTGTTCGAGTATTTTGAAAAGTCAGGACATTTTATTTTTATCGACGGAGTCATGAATCTCTGGAGAAATATTTTATCACAGAAGCATAAAAATAGAATTGCAATAAAATGGTAATACTGTACAAGATATAAAATGGTAGAGACCGACAAAGTAAAGATAATTTTCTCAAATGATAGTTTTAAGTTACTAAAAAGGAAGTTGCACAGAATTACTTGTTTTATTGTAAGAAATAGTACAATTTCCTTAATATAATGCTACTTTAGTACATCCAATTATGTTACAAGTTCAGACGGCTCTTGCTCTTATTATCTTTGAAATAAGTTCGCGTTTTGAGATAAATTGGGGGTCACCAGGCTAATACAGCTGTAAAGAGTGAATTAAGCAGAGTTGTTACTGGCACAGAAATTAGTCTTCTTTACACTTTATCTCTCTTTTCGGACGTTTCTGTTCTTTTATTGTATCGATATTTGTTATTGCAATATAAATTAATTCTTAACTGTTATTATGTAAGAATAAGTATTGTAAAAATTTTTTTTGCATTCCACTATATACAGTGTTAAAAAACATCAAATATATATTTTAAAATGTGTTAAAAATTATGTAAAAGATTTATTAAAAATTATACATGTTAATCGACAAAAAAATAACCTGAGGGACCTATCGTTTTTGTTTAATGTTAATTTTTTGTATTCGTTAATTTCTTTATTGAAACGATTAATATTTCTAAGTATATACACATAGAAACTGCTTAAATTTATTGAACCAAATCACACTTTCATTGTCACGCAAACCGTGCGGGTATTTAACGGTCATAACATGCTTAGTATATTATATCCCCTTGTAACTAAAGCTACCCTTTATTATTAAGCGAAATGCAATAATTTTATTGATCAATCAAACCACTATAAATATCCTACATCAACACATATTATGCTATTCTTTCATCAATCTTATATTCTTTTCTTTACTAAATTAAATTAAATTTGTACAGAAACAAAAATTTTCTTAAATCAAAACGTAGTTAACTATACAAGATTAATAGCGGCATCAAGAAAATGTGCAGCAACACATTACAATTAGCTATTCAATAAAAACATCTATTGAAATAATTTTTAAGCGTATTGTATATATTTACCCAAAATATGAGGTTTACACAGACTAACGCATACTTGACGCATCCATAACATTCCGAAAGCACCATCTTCTTCCGAATTGTACGTGACACCACACTTGGTTAGGTTACTTTGGTAGCTTTATAGAAAACACGCGATTCTGTGAACCGACGAAAACTGTTTGTATCCGTTTGCACTCTGATGCACGAACGAGGGAGGGACTTTTTTTGTTCGCTGCCGCGATTACTTAATATTGTACTCCCATATTATCGGAAGAAAAACACCGACCCATTCCATGCAACGGTTTATAAGAAACTGTCATGGGATACAAACTATCGGCGTTACTTTTTATCGCGAGTGCAAGGTATGAAGAACGGACTGGTACTCTCGTTTAAACCTCCTTGAAGCTGCAGCTTGTGACGTCATTCGAATATCTTCTATCCTTATCAGACACACTTTGAAATCTGTCCTTCTCTCTCTTACTTACGAACTAACCTCCCTATTCATTTCTCTCTAACGTACTGTTTCCCTAGTCTCGCTTGTTCGTTTAGTATCCCCACTTTTTCCCCCTTCTCACACCATATGCGCGCGCGACATGTAAATGCACGAATATATTTTCTATTATATTTTCTCTACTACTTTTCTTCAGTTTTGCTTGTTTCTTCTTTTTTTGTTTTTGGTTCTAATTTTTTAACATTATTTATCTAACTTCGTTATTATTTTGTTTGATATTTGTTTTATTTGTTCTATGTATACTTACTTTATGCATTATATTTTGTAACAATTCAAATAAATTTAGATTAACAATAACGGTAAGTTTATTATAGCAAACTGGTTTAAAAATGTATTTGAGGGGTAACACATTCCATTACATTACTTATTGTTATTTAATATATTCTATCTAGTCCTTCCACTTCTTTCTTTTTATCAACATCCCCGTTTATGTTGATAGCGTTTATTCTTAACATCGTTCTATGTACTCTATAAACTGTAAAGCAGACAAGTATTAAATTAAAAAGTTGAAAAACGTTCCAATTATAGTTACATTAATGTTAGTTGCCATATCACATCTTACAAGTTAGTCTGCGATATTGCTTCCTCCTTTTCATTCTGAAACGGGTTATTGTATGAGACAAAGTTTTTTGAACAACAGTTGCATCAACTGATACCAATTCCCGATTCAGAAGAGGCCTTCCAATAAGTGTGAAATCGGTACTGCCAACTAACAGCACTTTTTCTAATGTTAATTTATCTCCTGGTTGGGGTGGCCATTGACCTTCAACAGTTATAATATCACTTTCTGTGACTTTAAATTGTGTTCCACATAAATATATGATTGCAAATAAACGGCCAGTTGAGTTGGTAGCTATTTGTTTGTTAACTTCGCTGAGCACATCTAAAAATAAAAAGAAGACATTAGAATTGTACAGATGAAAAACTAGATATTGAACAATTTAATAATTTAAAAAAAAAATTGATTAACCAGCAGCAGCTTTTTCTTTTTCTTCATCAACTTCAGGTACCTCTTCTTGATAGCTTGGTGGTTCTTTAAACCAAGGTAACTTGTATCGAGTACGATAAGCAGCTACTTCTACTTCCCATAATTTCAGTGCTGTAACAAATATATGCAATATTTTTTCACTTGTATATTTTATTCTGAAAATAAAATCACGTTATTTATTTATATCTAAGAATTAGTTCCATCGCAAAGTGTAATGCTGTATGAGGGTTATAACATTATGTTGATAATTGTAACAATAATAACCTTCAAAATAGTAACAAAATATAATAGTATTACTGTTAATATTACAGTAATATAGTAATATAAGTTAAAAAACTAGAATAGCAAAGTATGTGCTATAATTTTATTTACCTAAAAATTATTGTTGATAAGTAGTTTTTAATTATACAAATGAAAAGTGAGGTTATATAACCTAACGTTACATACAAAGGAATAAACGAAATATTTATTATGATCACTCAAATTATTGACATACCTGGATAATATTGCTTGTACGTTGTAGCTGGAAGAATTCTTCTTATACAGGTATTTGTAGCAAAATTAAACAGTCTTGTAAAACCGGTTAGTGTCGCCATGATTCATACTCTATTCATTTTAAGTGTGATGATAATGTAATATAAGAAATTCGAAAAATTACATCTAAAATTGCAAACACATTTTATAAAGCAAGAAAGTAAATGTAGTACAAAAGAAGAGAGATGTCTTTTTCGTAAAAAGACACAGAGCAATAATTAAACAAATTCGCGCGAAATTTTTAAATGGTAGCTTTAAATAAAATTGTATTTTAAACTAAAATAAGTAAAAAAGACATTAGTGATGAATATTGTGTTGATGTTCAGTTGAATAACCTTTTTCTGTTTTACATGTTCCATTTAATAGAATGCGTTGTCATTAAAATAATCGAAATATAATATAAAAAGGATGGTTCTCAAATGCGGAAGAATCGTAGTATTTTTGTAGACTTCACTTGTAGTTCCGGTTCAAACCAGTACGTGAAGAGATGTCGTACATGTTCGCGAACAGTTACTTGTTATGTTTAGTCGTGTTGTGAGGAATCGATGATCGTTGAATTATCGTAATCGTTCCTGGTGTTCGTAGTAATCCGGCCAAATCGAACTATGCATTTTTATAAGGAAAAGCTTCTGTCACCGGGACAACTAAAGCGCCTGAGTGAGCACAAATACAGCTGTACAACAAGCAGTCTTTTGGATGGACTTCTTCAACCCTGGTGGAACTGGCTTGTTAACAAAGTTCCCCTTTGGCTTGCACCCAATTTAATCACTATCGTGGGGTTAATCGTCAATATTGCCACCACTTTGATCCTTATATATTACAGTCCCGATGCTAAAATCGAGGTACCATTTACATAACCTATTTTCTTGTTGAAATTTTATTTCCTGTGTGACAATGTAAAATATTAGTATATATTTAAAAATCGTATGCATATTCATTACAAAAATGAGAAATAGAAGAATAAATTAAGCAGTTATCACAATGACACATGACATCACTTGTTAAAATCACATATTGTATATGAGAGTGTGAATGTCTAAATTTGTTGTATACACATATCTGCAATGCTTATATTAGAACTATGTATTTATAAAAGGAATAGTTTGTTAAAAGGATAAAGTGTGTATGTAGAATATGTTTGTTTCAATATTTTAGGCACCTAGGTGGGCATGTTTTTTATGTGCACTTGGTTTATTCATTTACCAAAGCTTGGATGCCATAGATGGCAAACAGGCCAGAAGAACAGGAACTTCAACACCATTGGGTGAACTATTTGATCATGGATGTGATTCCATATCAACCGGTATGTTCAAGTTGACAAACCTTATCTGACCCTTTTAGCCTTTGACCTGTTACATTAAAAATTCATAAGTGAAATTTTGTTATTTTATGTTTCTAGTATTCATTGCTATATCAGCATGTATAGCAGTACAATTAGGATATTACCCAACATGGATGTTTTTTCAATGCTTTTGTGCTATGACACTTTTTTATTGTGCTCATTGGCAAACATATGTTTCAGGTAAGAAGTTATCCTTATCTATAACTATTGATAAAAATAGTATTATCTATTCTGTTGCTTTTACAGTATAACTGTTTTCAAACAGGTTCATTGAGATTTGGAAAAGTAGATGTCACAGAAGCACAGTTTACCATTATAATAATTCATCTCATTTCTGCAGTCTTTGGACCAAAAATATGGATGATGGAGGTTGTACCT